GACTAGAGCCCAAAAGCAGTTGGCCGCAGCAGAATACTCTGAGACAAATCGCCAAGTAAAGAGAAAGGTGAGAAGGGATAAGAGAGTGTTTGCAGAAGAGCTTGCAACGCTAGCGCAAGATGCAGCCAATCTAGGTGACAGCAAGGGTCTCTATGACATTGCAAAGAAGCTGGGGAAAAACAACTTCCACTCTGTAAGGCCTATAAAGGATAAACAAGGGAATCTTGTTACGACAAGCCAGCAACAGCTTGAAAGATGGAAGGAGCACTTTACAGCAGTTTTAAATAATAGTAGTGATATGGAAGGAGAACCTGAGAATCGTGAGGAACCTGTTATTGGTAGAGAAAGGAATATAAACATAGATGTTACCCCCCCTACTAAAGAAGAAATAAAAGAAGCATTGAGACGAATGAAAAACTGGAAAGCTCCGGGAATTGACAATATCCCCCCTAATATCCTCAAGGCAAATCCAGACATGTTATGCTCCTTTTTAGAACCCCCATTAAAGAAGATCTGGGAAAGGGAAACAATACCAGAAGAATGGAATCAAGGAGTACTCATAAAGCTTCCAAAGAAAGGAGATCTGACAGACTGCAATAACTGGAGGGGAATCACACTGTTGCCAACCTGCAGTAAAATTCTTTCAAGAATAATTCTCAACAGAATTCGGAGACCCGTTGAAGAAGTCCTTCGTGAAGAACAAGCAGGATTCAGGGAATCCCGATCGACAACAGACCACATCAACACTTTGAGAATAATCATTGAACAGTTTGTGGAGTATCAAGCTTCATTATATATAGTTTTCGTGGACTTTGAAAAGGCCTTTGATTCTGTCAGTAGGAGGAAGATGTGGGCTGCAATGGAAGCTTTTGGAATTCCTCACAAAATCATAAGGCTCACACAAAAGATGTATGATGGATACATTTGCCAGGTGGAACACGCTGGGAGCCTCTCAGAACCAATCACAGTGGAGTCTGGAGTAAAGCAGGGGTGCCTCTTGTCACCAATACTGTTTATAATGACGCTTGATTGCATGCTTCGGAAGGCAACAAATAGAAACCGAGGCATAAGGTGGGGGTTGCATGGCCGCCTAGAAGAACTGGATTTTGCAGACGACTTATGTCTCCTTGCAGAAAGCTTCCGTGACATTGAAATGAAACTAAATGATCTCCGTGTAGAAGCTTCAGATGTTAAAATAAATGGAAGGAAGACTATGGAAATGCGTATAAATGCACGTAACAATCAAGTCTTGCAGCTACACAACAAAGACATTGAGAGCGTAACTGAGTTTTGTTACCTTGGTAGCATGGTAGGACTGGATGGAGGAACAGACCTAGATATCAAAAGCAGAATTAGGAAGGCCAAGGGAGCGTTTGCCCAACTACGCCCTGTGTGGACATCAAGGCAGATTCTGCGAAAGACAAAATTAAGACTGTTCAACTCCAATGTCATGTCTGTCTTGCTATATGGCTGTGAGACATGGAAGATTAACAACGCAGAAGTGCAAAGCCTACAAGCATATGTCAATAGGTGCCTGCGGTACATTTTGAAAATTTGGTGGCCTAATGTGATAAGAAACGAAGATCTTTGGATGATAACCAAGCAAGAACCAATCAAAAAGATTATCACCAGAAGAAGGTGGAGATGGATTGGCCATACGTTGAGAAGGCCGCAGAGCTGTATAGCAAGACAGGCACTAGACTGGAATCCGCAGGGAAACAGAAAGCGGGGCAGGCCAAAAACAACTTGGAGGAGAACCATAGAAAGAGACCTAGCAAGAAGACAGCTGACGTGGAGACAGGCCAAGGCACTTGCTGAGGATCGAGACGGGTGGCGAGATTTCGTCGAGGCCCTATGTTCCACCTAGGAACTCACGGAAATAAGTCAAGTAAGTCAAGTTGTTGCATTTCTTACATATTTCTCCGATAAATTTACACTGATGTGCCCTGTGTCTAGGTGATCCACAACGATCAACAACCCCGGGGTGTCGTCTTTGTAGAATGCACTTACAATGATCAGGTGTTTGTTGGGAAACTCTACATAGTGAACCAAAATTTCGATGCAATTTTTGGAAGAGAATGGATTAGAGAGGTCAAACTGGATTGGGCAGAGCTTAAAACAGTTAGTAACAATACTACATCTACTGCACTCGAAGATCTTTTGGATGAATTCAAGGAATTATTTGAACCAGGAGTAGGACTCATACCTCACAAAAAAGCACACTTACAGCTTGTTGAAGGGGCAAGACCTATTTTTGTGAAGGCTCGTCCAGTCCCATATGCACTAACTGAAAAAGTAGAACTCGAGTTGAATCGTCTGGAAGAAGCTGGAATCATTTCCAAAACAGACAAGTCCGATTGGGGTACTCCAATTGTACCTGTAGTAAAGCCTAATGGTAACATACGAATATGCGCTGATTACAAGGTTACAGTAAATAAACAAATCAAAGAAGAACATCATCCAATACCTCGGATCGAAGACATTTTTGCTCAAATGAATGGAGGACAGTTGTTCTGTACTTTGGATTTAAGTAACGCTTATCTCCACTTGGAAATGGATGCTGAGAGTGCAGAAATTCAAACTTTGAGCACTCATAAAGGACAATACATAGTTAACAGACTGATGTTTGGTGTAAAAGTTGCTCCAGGAGTTTGGCAAAAGGTGATGGACGGAATCCTTCAAGACCTTCAAGGTGTTCAGTGCTTCTTCGACGATATAATAATTCAAGGAACGTCATCAAAAGAACTACTAGAAAGACTAAAGCAAGTGTTTGAGCGTTTAAGGAGTCAAAATTTGAAGTTAAACCGTGACAAGTGCAAATTTTTTCAAAAGAAAATTGAATACTTAGGACATGTTATTGACGCCACTGGAATCCACAAAAGTAAGGATAAAATCACAGCAATTACAAATGCACGAAGGCCTCAAAACATACAGGAACTCCGATCTTTCCTAGGGCTTGTTAATTACTACAACCGGTTTGTAAAGAATTTGTCTACTGTTTTAAATCCTTTACATAGACTTCTAAAAAAAGGGCAGTCATTCATATGGGACAGTAAGTGTGAAGAAAGTTTCCAAAACATCAAGAAAAGAATAACAAGTGACACAGTTCTTTGTCACTTTAACCCAGACCTGCCATTGATCCTTGCAACTGACGCTTCACCTGTGGGACTTGGAGCAGTGATATCACACCGTTTCCCAGATGGAAGTGAAAAGCCTATAGCTTTTGCTTCAAGATCATTGACCAATGCTGAAAAACATTACAGCCAAATCGATAAAGAAGCCACAGGTATATACTGGGGGTTGAAGAAATTTTTTTCTTATTGCTACGGACGTCATTTCACACTCATCACGGACCATAAACCATTAGTGTCAATCTTCAATCCCAACAAGAGCCTACCGTCAATGTCAGCTACGCGACTATTCAACTACTCCCATTTTTTATCAGGATTTAACTACACAATTGAATTCAAGAGAACTGGTGACCATGGGAATGCAGATTTCCTCTCAAGATTTCCTGTGGAAGATTCAAAATTTACAAGTATTGACCAGTTTGGACATTTTCAAACAAACCAATTGAACACCATAACTATCAATCCCAAAGAACTAGCCGAAGAAACTAAGAAGGACGCATATCTAAAACAAATTCTTGAGGCTCTTGAGGAGGGTCAATCATTAGAGCCATTGGGATTTCACGATAATGAAGTTACATTACATGAAGGATGCCTCTTCAAAGGGTGGAAAGTAATCATCCCAAATTCCCTCAAGAAAAGAATTCTCAATGAACTACACTACGGGCACATTGGTATAGTAAGTAAAAACCAAAGCTTTGGCAAGAAGTTACTGCTTTTGGAGAGGTATGGATAAAGACATTGAAAACATGATTGCTGTTTGCAAGCCTTGTCGTGAGAAACAAAATTCTCCAACGAAAGAGATCAACCATCCTTGGGAACCAGCAACTCAGCCATGGGAGAGAATACATATAGATTTCATGGGCCCAACAAATGGACAACAATTTTTCATTGTTGTTGATGCCTTCTCCAAATGGGTAGAGGTAATACCCACAAAAACAGCAACTACCGATTGGACTATTAAGGAGTTGAAGAAACTTTTTAGTACTTTTGGTCTTCCAAGCCTCCTAATTTCAGACAATGGACGAAGTTTCACTTCTCTTACTTTTCAAGAGTTTCTTAAGTCATGTGGAACCCAACACAAAACGACTGCTCCGTTCCACCCATCATCTAATGGACAAGCTGAATGCTTTGTACAAACAGTGAAGAAGATGTTGAAGTCGATATTAGATGAACCAGGAACACTTGACAGTAAAATTCACAAGGCGTTAATTCAACTCCGTCAAGTACCAAACTCAACAGGAAACTCGGCATACTATCTCATGTTCAACAGACAAGTAAGAACATACCTCAGTGTTATGATACCTTCTAGAATCGAGGACTCAAAAGACAAACCTAAAGGTATAACACGCATATTTAAGGTGGGAGACCGTGTTCAAGTGAGAAACTACTACAAGGGTCAGACAAAATGGAGTTTCGGAAAAGTTACATCAAGAGATGGAAATCTACATTACAACGTTGAACTGGAGAACGGAGTAACATGCAGACGACATGTAGATCAAATGCTGCGATCAAGACTTTAAAGGGGGAAAAATTGATGAGTCTTTTCTAACATACTGTATGTTTAACAAAATACCATATGTTATGTTTAATAAGTTGACTTTGTTTTTGTTTACAATCATTGTTATTTTAGGATTCAATTCAGAATACACCTATTTTATTTTACACATCTTTTATTTAATATGTAACAGTTGGAATTTTGATATTTTGTTCTTATTAGCAAAGGTTGTTGACTAAAAGACAGTAAGAATTTGCAAGAACATGTGTAAAGAACCCTCATCTCCACACATGTTGTGAATGGTACAGCTGTGGTCAATGTGTTTGAATGTATATAACTCATGGCATTATGCCCTGCACAATGTTAAGTACCGGTTAGACCCGGCTCTCAGTCTAGTGGTTTCCCTACACTGGAATTACACCCAACTGTCAGGCTGAGCTATCTAGGCAACGGTTGCGACTGCATATATAATTTTCCCGTTAAGGAAATGTACGTCGCAAAGGTACAAATAATAAAACTTTTTCTATCCATATATTATATAATGTGTACTAATAAAATTAAGTACATATTACACTTTTCTTATATATATCACAAACACAAATTATAACAAATTGCACTTTTGTGTTTAACTTGCAGTCTTAGGAACTCTTACTAAATATAATTTTGCAACAAATATAGTTCATGCAAAACTGTAAGTAGCCTAATTGTAACTTACATCAAGTAAGCTGATAAATAAACAATGCAAATATTTATACAGAGCTAGAGTCTTATGTAAACTTACTGTTGTGCTTTTAGTGGAGCAGAACGTAACATGTTTCATAACAACAATTGCAAAAGAACTAACATACATTTGAAAGATTAAATCTACACGGACTACAAACCTAAGATGTGGATTGATGATAGATATGTTAGAAATACAACTTGTTGGCTAAAGTAATGGTATTTTTTTAAATAATGTCAACGCTTTGAGCTAAATCATATAAATACTTGTAGTCCTGAGGTAAAAGATGATTCGAGGACAAAATCTGTCTTATCAATAAATAAAATGGTTTTAAAACTTGTCTCATGCCATTTCTCAGCATGCATCACTTTGATTGAATACAAATCACACTGATAACAGTTAAAATGTATAATCACTTGAAATACACTCCATACATTCACTTAGCTAATTAAGACCGAGGTCAATAATATGTACAGAAAAATTACTAAAACAAGCTTGGCAAACAAAAATGTCTTATAAACATCTTAAAAAAAATAACATAACCCATAACCAACCAACAAACAAAGCAACACTCCTTTAATAATACTAATGTCATCTTAAAGTTATGAACCTTAAGTCAGTTCTTGTATTTATTTTATTATTGCACTAAACTTGTAAACAGGTGAATAAGCTGAAACAGGTGTAAAATTACTGTAAACAGCAATGCTCTTCTCTCTGGGGTATGAATGATTTGTTGGCTTAGTGCATTAAGTTGACCTTTGCCTACAAAACTGTTTAAACAATACAAAGCAAAATGAATTTGTATCTTTATATAAACACAGTACTCTCTGTCATAATGAACTCTGGTTCAACTTCTGCTGGGATAACTCCCAACCCCCCTACCTGGTTGGAAATAGGGGTTGGTTTATCTTTATCTACCATAATTTTAAAATCGGTTAGTTTCTTTCCAACCTTTTTAAAACTTTTTTATTAGCTCGCTTTCTTGTCCAGTACAAATTTTGTAATTGATATTAAACCAACTTCCCGATGAGCTAGAGACTTGAAACTTTAAACATAGCTCACAAATGGATGACAATGCATTAAATCATTTTATTTTCATATTTCCCTTGGGATACGCCCCACGGGCTTCCAAAGTTTCAATGTTTACATTTTGAAAACAAATAACCTAAATGTAAATACCTAAATTTGACAGTTCAAAGAGCAGAGGTTAAGAGGTACAGGTTCTGCTCCCGAGAGATTCTTAAAATATAAAACACCATTTCAAAGTAAAGATAAAACATCGGATTACAGATAATAAGGTTTTGGTTATGTACAGGCCATATATAATAGATTTAACATGTTTACGCAAGACTAAGAAGTATAGAAAATAATTTATAAATAAAAATATTTTTAAAAAATACCACGTTTTTAACCACGCTAAAAATGAGAAAATAATTTATAAATATGTGAACAGAATAAAAACTTTTAAGATTTAAAACAAAAAAAAGTGGGGTGCATGCAATAGATAATACTTCAATAGGTGAAGATAATTCACAATTGAAAAAAAATAAATTGTAAATTAGCTATTGCATAACCCCAATGCAATAGCATTTCGTTTTAAATCTTACAAGTATTTATTCTTTCCACATATTTATAAATTATTTTCTACTTTTTAGTGTGTTTCAAACGTGGCATTTAAAAAAAGTATTTCTATTTATAAATTATCTAGGAATCAAGAGACTTCTGTTCCCAGCCACAATGCAGTTTAAATAGGCGTTGTAAATGCGGTTGTAATTTTTTTATGACCCACACGCAATATTGTAATTTTGACTTTGTACATTTACATGTAAATATTTAACATTGCAAAATAAGGAAGAATTGCTTAGTTGTGCATCAAAATGTATATCTTTATCCATTAGTTTTAATGACAATTATTTTTGCAGTATTTTATAAAAGTGCTTGCTTAAACCAACTTCAGTCTTGAGAAGAACAACTAAGAGAGGGTGTACTGCAGCAAGTTGTATTAGTCAATTAGTTTCATTTAAATGATTGTTAATTAACTTTAGAGCAGTTAAAATTCAATGACATTCAATTTTCCGACATATATGTTCAATTTTGCTTCCATCACATAATTTATTTTAGTTTCTTTAAACTTATTCCGTTATAGTACCTAATTAAAATATCATACAAACAATATTTTTTTTAAATTACAGTTTACGAGCACCATTGTTGAAATTTATTTTTAAATTGCGTTCCTAAAGAAAAACATTTGAAATAGCAAACCTGTTGTTTCTTAGCAGGTAAAAACATAGAATTCTGAAAAAAGTGAAATGTGCATTACTAAAATCAAAGCTTGCAGAGGCAGAAGAGTAAAGGGATGAAGGCCCCAATGGCCACAAACACTGGCAGCATGATAGAGGAGTCCTCCACACTGTAGGGGTCAGGTGTGCGAGGGCCACTGGCGCGACGGTTCTTACCAGTAGACGGACGTTCCTCCACTTCGTCTCCCTTCCACTCCTCCACCTCTGGCAACGGCGGCAGTCTAGGCACGTCTGTACAGCATTACAGTCAATCAATATAACATCAATTTACAAGTTGACCATAACATATATTATTTTTTAAACAATGTGTTTCTTAAGAGTGAATTCTTCACTACCTATCAATACTTTGACAAATCTTAATGATCATTAAATGTTAAGTGCTAAATGGTATATTAAGTCTCTTTCATGAGATGGGATGGTTGGCAAACTAATAATCAATTTAGATCTACACTGAATAACTGAATAAGCTACATATTAAATACTACCTGTGTGCCCGTTCTACTTATTGTAGGGGATCTTATCGTAGTCAGTTAAAACCTTCTTATATTAAGAACAGCAGTTGGTTTGCATATTTTCAGATATGCTGGCAAAACTATTATATATAAACCTTCACAAATACAGTATCTGACAGTTTCAAGCCAAAACAAATGCTTCTCAATTAAATGTCACCCGGATCGTGTTGGTCCATGTTAAATCCAATGATTAAACTAAAAAACGTGTTATAGATCTATGAGGCATAGCCCTAAGGTAAGCCTATAATTGAACGTTACTTTCCACAATGGTTAAAAGTATTTAAGGTACTACCTCAACCTCACAATCTAACACTTTATTCGGGTTGACATTTTCATTGGTGCTCTTGTCCTTTCTGTGAAACACTGAGAAATGAGGACATTAATGTGTTACCAACAGACATACACACAAAAATACAGAACTTAATTAGGGAATTTGCTACGCTTTAAGCATAACAAAGTACTTATAAAACTAGGAGTACGCTCCGGAGTCGCGTATGAGAATGAACGAAGACAATTCCATGTACATATAATCTGTCTTTGGCCCCTCTTACACCCTGCCCCTGCGGCGCGCCGCAAGATTGTGCGGCGGCAATGGCCAGACTAACTGCGATTTTTTTTGTACTACAGGCGTAATGCTCTTTTATTTTAGAAATAATTCTAATTATGCATTTATCTATCCAAAATTAATACTAAATTTTATTTTATTATCATAAATAGAATAAGCTCTACTTTTGTCTATCATAAATTATAACATCAGTGGTGTTTGTTATGTTTTTGACTGGGGATGTTAATCTAAACCTTGGACCTGTTAATTCACAAGGTAGTAATTTTTATAGCGCCAAAGCGAAAAGTAACTGGGGCCAGTTTGACACTAAAATTTGTCCAACCCAGGGCCCGTGCCCCTGGGCATTTGCCCCCATTGCACCCCCCCCCCCCACCCACTGTAATCATGTGACAGAGTGATTAAAAATCATGGGCTGAGTATCACTTCTTTAAGTTAATAAAGAATTATGAACATATTTTTTTAACCTAACGGATTCTATGATGCATGAAAATTAATCCTGAGAACCTCTGCTTTCCAAGGGTATAAGTTTTATTGCAATTTAAGAGAGTTTACTGGTCGGAAAATTAAGTTGAAACACACCATGTCCTATGCGTCAATTTTTTGACTCTGCCACACCACACTTCAATTTCTAACGTCAGAAAATTGACGAAGGCCAGATATAGGGTTAATTAACAGCTGTGTCTAAGGAATATGTCGGCCTTAGTCATTAACAAGACTACAAGATTGCGCCACTCATCCTACACTCATCTCCATTCATACTTGGCTTAACCCTTTGAGTGCCGTCGTGTCTCGCTCCGAGATGCACCATTGTCCTAGCTTGAGTGCCGAGCGTCTCGTAGCGAGACGGTTGAGGTTGCGCGAGAAATGCCGACGTCTGGGAGAGAAACGCTCAGAAAATCACTTCATACAGTATCACATTTCAATAAAGCTGGCTGCAAATCACACCAAATGCGACAGAAGGAGGTTGGCAACAACTATTTTGTTTTTTAACTGTAGAATGGAGCTGAGAAATGTGGTCAACCAATCAAAAACCATTTTGCAATAGTAGACGGATTTACACAGCTGGTTTGTGTTTTGTTGTTTCGACTCTTTACGTTCTAGTAAATGTTTGTTTACAAATAGTTTGGTTATAGAATTGTAGGTTATGGTCATGAATCGTTGAAAAATACATTTTAAACCTTTAAAAAGTGATAATACCACAACTTATTCGTGCATTTGTTGATAGTTTGTGGCTAATCACATAAAGTGTACCGGTAACTGGACTTGGTAAGTCAGGCCTATAGGTGCATGATCTTATTTTAACCGTTTGTATATTTTGTTCATGGCTTATAATTTATAATAGTATTCTAATAGTAATTTGAATTATAAACATAATAATAACAACATCAAATAGAGTAAAATGTAAAATTATTTAGTTTTGTCTGTAACAACACAAGTCCTAAAGCATGATTTAGGTTGTTTGCTCGGTAGGGCCTAGAATTTTTTGAGACCTCTTTGTAGTAAATGTTACATATTTTTTGGGCATATACAATACAATATATATATATATATATTGTAAATACATTTGCTATACATGATTTCTCTTTAGTTTTTAACCGTTCGAGGCCAAATTTTTTCACCATTTTTCAGAGAGTATAGTTTGCCATTTCAGTAGTCGGGAAAATGGTGCCCGGGGACTTATACTCGCCATTTGACCGCAAAGATCAACTTTTTTTTTAGAGTATAGGTAGCCATTTTTTAGCAGTCGGGAAAATGGCGGGCGGCGACCTATACTTGCCATTCGACCTCAAAGGGTTTACTCTTTAAAATGAATGTAAAATTTAATGTCATTGAATAATTTTAAATTGTGTTATTTTAACTCAAACTTTGAAAATGAGAATAAACTGCACCATATTTCTGTCTTGTCCATGAAAATATTTTATTTTAACTCGAATGAAACCCCAAATAATGTTAGTATTTTACAAAGGACGGTCTAGAAATCTACAAAACAAAACAAATTTAGGCCAAAAATGTTAATAAATAAGTACGGTATTTTATGAAGATTTTCCTTAACACCTGCATTTACGTGGAAAAATGGTCGGCATTCCTAGAAGCAACACCACATGTAGGCCTGGCAAACCTCAAATAAAATTGTTTCACCCCCTTGAGGCACTCAAAGGGTTAAAATACCTACTTTGTATGGTCGCCATTTCATCGAAAAGTATAAAAAGTATAAAGTATTATCAGCCACTTGGCTTTCCTTTAAGTCCATACATTTGTGTCTCTATATAAATGTGTATTTAATTAATTAATTATCAGCTGTAATAGATTAATTGTCTTACCTTCAAGCTTTGCTTTCACAACATATATTGCATTTATCTTAGGATTGTCCCGGTAACCCTAAAAACAAATAATTTTGTTTTAGCTGAAACACTAAGAATCATTTATGAGTAGATATAATCTGACAACTTTATCACACTCCATGAATGCTTGATGAAAATATATTAATCAGCGGAAGTTGTTTCATTTATACACTTGCCCCAATTGCTTGGATAAGCATTGTAATACCAAGACACTTAAAAAAAAATATTTTTTGTAACAGGTTAGGCTACAGCGATTTAAGTCATACTCCCTAATAGGGCATTAAACAAGGATATTAATTTTTTTTTTTTAATCATGTCTCAATAATAGTGCAGGAGAGCTCTAAAGTCAAACTATGCAAAAACAGCATTAATAAGAGTGGTGTCTTGATTTTTAACACACAATCAATGTCTTCGGTCTGTAGTTTTTTTTAGGTCCGAAGACCTTTAGTTTTTTTTTTATATGACTATAATCATAAAAGATAAAACTATGTAAAATGATTACTCCTATATGTGTTTACAATTTTATGGGGTTTATCATGAAATAAAACCCCTTTGAGTGTTGGTAAAATATTTTTGAAAAAACTAATAGGCACATTTATTAAAAGTTGATAAAGTAAAACTTAAAAAAATAAAAAAATATACTGTTTATAAATTACTAAAGCCTTTAATCATATATTATGAAAGTTAATAGACTAATTGATGTAAAAAAACATAAACCATCAGAATTTTTAACGCTTGACTGATACTTCAAATAATGCCTATTTTACCCATAGAGTAATGGTGACTTAAGGTATGGTTACACCAGAGCGAACAGGAGCGGACCGAACGTTCAATGGTGTTTGCTGTGGTTTGCTAGCATTCGCGAACACCTGAGAATGGGAGTAGTCACACCAGAGTGTTTGAACACACACAAATCGTCTTGATTGAAACGTCATTCGCTTGTGCTCCGCCACCACAAGAACTGCACGGTGATGATAATCCCTGTTATCGTCACCGTGCAGTTCTTAAACAGACTAACTGTTTGATAAAATATTAATAAAAAAAACCGTTAATTTTTTATTTAACAGTTTATAATTAGCACTACTAGGATCACATAACACTGTCCTTGCTTTGTATTCTTCAATCAGCTTCAACACTTTGTCATCAGTCCACTCCATAGTTAAACAAAAATAGGAATAATAAATTGTAGTACAACTCAAAAAACCCCTTTGACCTAAACAACTTGTTGATATCAGTAATGTAGACACCGGCAAGGACTAGACTGGAGTCACTACGATGGGTCACACTGAAGCGAGGACCGAACTCGAGTGAACGCGAATTCCTTTGGTCATTCGCGCTGAAACCGACAATGGATGGAGCAAGCGCGAACACGAACATGCGACTACCGAGCACTGCCGATTGATGTTCGCTATCGCTGGAGTCCCCGGTCACACCGAAGTGAATTTCGCATTCGTTACAGCTCGTTCGCTCCTGTTCACTCTGGTGTAACCCTACCTTTAGATTAGCCTACACCTTTGGTATCTTCGGACTGTGAAACCGTTTTCGTATTTTACAAAAAATTTTATGTATATTATAACTATATAAATAAAACATACTAGGTGGCGTTCGCAGAGGCATCCACAAAATTGAGCGGAGTCATCAAGGGTTCATATTATATTGTTTTTGTCATACTGCAGTAAAAACAGTAGTTTTTAATGCATGCGTTGCGGGTCTAAAGTAGCTTTTTACTCTTTAGGGAGTAAACATCGTTTTTAGCCTCTATGGAGTAAAAATCTGCTGTTGTTAACACAGTTGTAAATTTCAATTGTAAACGATTGCATGTATCAAAAATATGTATCGATTCGTACTTCGTAATCATTTCAACCTACATTCTACAGTCTCTTCCCATAGCATTTTAGCATTGCAGATACATTAATCCATTCCCACACTCAACACTGCCCACCTTTACTACTTCCTTCACCACCCCTACGTCGTGGACCTGTTTTCCTCTCTTCCCATAGCATTTTAGGATTGCAGATACATTAATTAAAGACAGTTCCCACACTCTGCACTGCAAGCCTTACTACTTCCAACTTCCTTCACGATTTCCTACGTCATAGACCTATTTCCTTGAATTCTCATAGCATTTAAGTATTAGATACATTTATCTAACTGTCCAAACGGTTCCCCCACTCTGCACTGCCAGCCTTTACTACTTCCTCCACCACTTCCTACGTCGTGGGACCTGTTTCGTTCTCTTTTCATAGCATTTTAGGATTACAGATACATTAATCTAACTGCCACAGACGGTTCTCACACTATGCTCATACTTTACTAGTTCCTAAGCCACTTCCTACATCGTGGCTGTTTTCATCAATTTCCATGGCATTTAAGTATTTTAGATAAATTAATCTAATTGCCACAAACATTCCCCGCACTCTGCACTGCTAGCCTTACTACTTCTTTCACCATTTTCTATGTCGTGGGGATGCTTCCATCACTTCTCATAGCATTTCAGCATTGCAGATACATTAATCTAACTGCTAAAAACGGTTTACAGTTCCCACACTCCACACTGCTCACCTTACTACTTCCTTCACCTCTTCTTACGTCACGGACCTGTTTCCCTCTCTTCCCATAGAATTTTTAGATTGTAGATACCTTGATCTAATCATCATAAACGGTTCCCACACTCCGGACAGCACGCCTTTACTACTTCCTTCAACACTTCCTACGGACCTGTTCCCCCCTTCCAATAGCATTTTAGGATTGCAGATACATTAATCAAATCGTCATAAAAAGTTCCCATACTCCGGACTGCTCGCCTTTACTACTTCCTTCACCACTTCCTACGTCACGGACCTGTTTACCTCCCTTCCCTTAGCATTATTGGATTGCAAATATCTTAATCTATTGGTCATAATCAGATCCCACACTCCGAACAACTCGCCTTTACTACTTCCTTCACCACTTCCTACGTCACGGACCTGTTTCCCTCCCTTTCCATAGCATTTTAAGATTGCTGATAGCTTAATCTAATCGTCATAAACAGTTCCCACACACTAGACAGCTCGCCTTGACTTCTTCCTTCACCACTTCCTACATCGCGGACCTGTTTTCCTCCCTTCCCATAGCATTTTAGGATTGTAGATACCATAATCTAATCGTCATAAACAGTTTCCACACTCCGGACTGCTTGCCTTTACTACTTCCTTCACCACTTCCTACGTCACGGACCTTTTTCCCTCCCTTCCCATAGCATCATAGGATTGCAAATACCTTAATCTAATGGTCATCAACAGATCCCATACCCCGAACAGCTTGCCTTTACTACTTCCTTCACTACTTCCTACGTCGCGGACCTGTTTTCCTCCCTTCCCACAGCATTTTAGGATTGTAGATACCATAATCTAATCGTCATAAACAGTTCCCACACTCCGGACAGCTCGTCTTGACTACTTCCTTTACCACTTCCTACGTCGCGGACCTGTTTCCCTCCCTTCCGATAGCATTTTAGAATTGCAGATACCTTAATCTAATCGTCATAAACAGTTCCCACACTCCGGACAGCTCGTCTTGACTACTTCCTTCACCACTTCCTACGTCGCGGACCAGTTTTCCTCCATTCCCATAGAATTTTAGGAATGCAGATACCTAAATCTAATTGTCATAAACAGTTTCCACACTCCAGACTGCTCAACTTTACTACTTCCTTCACCACTAGTGTCGTCATTTGATTGTATTTATTATCCATACCGTTTCTGTTGTAATATCTGTGGAATAATGCCATCAGCTATTTTTTCATCTAATGCATTCAAAAGTCAACAGCTGATCATATGTCTTTGTTTATGTGTCAAATACTGCTTCCATAAGGATTACATTGAAACTTTGAGACCCAGTGGGGCGGATTCCTGAGACTTTTTTAACGCCATATAAATGTTGGCACTCACCGATATGGTCTTTATCACCATGTAAAATTTGAAAACGATTAATTCAGCCGTCTAGGAGGAGTTTGCGTATTACGAAATGCATAAGAGTCGACGTATAAGAGCTTCGCTCGCTCCGCTCAATAAACTAAGTAAAACTATTATCCTACTAATATTATAAATGAGAAAGTTTGGATGTATGGATGTATGGATGTATGGATGTATGTTTGTGACAAGTGAACGCGAAAAATACTGGTCGGATTGGGCTGAAATTTGGCATGATGATAGCTCACATTCCCGATTAACATATAGGCATATTCTTATTTCAAAAATCCTTTCGGGCTCCGCCCCAGTGGCTCTGGAGTTTCCCATGTTAACCTTATGAGAAATGAAATTATTGAATCTTAACAGCTGTTTCAATTAAACAAGTTGGTTCTGTTCTGTGATGTTCAAAAGCATTAAAGTTACAAAAATTACCAACAGGGTGCAGCACTATTATTTCTTTTACATTTATGACAACAGCTAATTTGCAACCAAAAGGTGAGTGAGCGTAGCGAACGAACTTCAACCTGGAGGCGAGTTAGCGTAGAGAACGAGCTAACCTGAAGGCAAGTGAGCGCAGCGAACGAGCTCCAACCTAAAGGTGAGTGAGCGTAGCGAACGAGCTCCAACCTAAAGGTGAGTGAGCGTAGCGAACAAACTTCAACCAGGACGTGATTGAGCCATGCGAACGAGATAATCTTGAAAATTAAGAAGTTAAACGGGGCAAAGCCCGCGGGTTACAGCTAGTAATTATATAATTTTACATTACATAAAAGTATTACATTACACATAATGTAATAGTTATATTATTGTAGTATTAAACACAGTATTACATTATATACAGTATTCATTTTTTTAGGGGGGCTTTGGTCTGTTGGACCAATCACACCCCAGGTGTCATCGATGTAGGGGATCCAATTACAGGATTGCAGACGAATCTGTAACCTCGCGTCTGGTGGTAGACTGAGTCGAGGTAGGAAGGTAGCAGGAGACACAAGTCCTGCACCCTAGCGGGGGGATCAGGAACTTTAAAATATTACATCATCGGACTCACAGACCGAAGACACCACTCTAGGGTTAAATTGATGTT